CCCCAAAACCCCAAAACCCCAAAACCCCAAAACCCCTTTATTTCAATTCTTAATTGAAGGCAATATAAATAAATTTATACGCAATGGAGAAAAGCACCACTGATCCTCCTCCAGACGGCAAGTCTGAGAAGAAAGAAAATCCGGATCAGAAAGAAAGTGACATGAAGCCATCAGATGAGCAAGAAAATGGCCCTCAACCTGCTGAAGGAGAGCCAGATGAGAAAGAGTTAGATGCCAAAAAGACTAAAGGTCAAAAACCTAAGGCTACTCCTAAGAGGAAGAAAAAGTAAGTCAATTTTCGATATTACTCACGCTGAGAAAAATGGCTGATCTCGTATAGAGCTCCAAATACACCTGAAAATATTGAGATTGTAGAAGAACTCTATCGTGATGTAACCGTAAGAGATGAGACCATCAAAAGATTAAACCTCAAAGTAATCGATCTTCAAGCCCAACTAAAAGATTCCTTAATAAAAGCAGAAAAGAGCGGAAATGCTAAGCGGGACTACAAAATAGCCCACATGCAGGATGATCTACGTCATGCTAAGAATGACTTAGTGCTTAACTCCCAACAGCTTGAGAAGTTCATGGAAGAAGGCACTAAAACAGTCAATGAATACATACAAAAATACGAAAAAGCTGAAGAACAACTTGGCAAACTTCGGGAAGAAATAACCATAAAGCAAAATCTTCTAAAATAACAAAGATGAAATCTACAGAAGAGTTTTAGCTGATTTACAGGAGGCTAGGAAACAGGTTGGAACCCTCCAAGTTGGCAAACTCCAACTAGAGAAAACCAACAACAAGCTTCTCCAGAAAATAGCTGGGTTAAAAGATGAGAAAGTGACTCTTGAAGATAGACTGATTAACCAAGATTCAGTCACGAACAAGATCAAGAAGCAGAGCATGCTTGTCTCTGAATTCAACTCGAAATACTACGGTATTAATATATCTGAAATTGGGCAGGAAATAAACAAACACATGTTTGAATTAATGGTGAATCTGAGAAAGAATCACTTATGCAGCCTTATCCAAAGCGGGAAGGACCTCAGACACCTACTTGAGGAAGAAGGCCGAGAAGACCTTATTAATAAGCTAAAGAAATTCCATGATCTTAAAGATTTTGAACCTGAAGAGACTCATAAGCCTGTAGTTGATGAGAAAAAGCCTAAAAAAAAGAAAGATAAAAAGTCTGCAAAAGCTATTAGAAAAGGAGGTGGCTATGTACTTGAAAAAGATTATGAAAGTGATCAAGAGAGCGAGAAAAATAAACCCCTAGTTGTTAGGAAGACAAAAGAGACTATGACAGAGAAGGAATGGAAGGAATACGTCTGAAAAGTAAAGCTCAACAATCCTGTTCTTAAGAGACTTATGAATCTAAGCAAGCATCATTTTAAAGGAAAAGATGGTATTTTTAAAAGCCATTCTGATCTTGCTGCGCTACTCACTAAAGGAGTTAACTACACTAAAAAACAGAATAACTTCCTTGGTAAGATCTTCAAGGTGTTCAAGTCCAAGCCAACTGATGAGACTCTGATCAAGGAGAACAAAGAGCTCAATGAAAGGATGGACACTTACTCTAAACTACTCACGATGTCAATTTCAGAAATCATCAAATATGTCTCAGAAGCCAAAGATGGAATTGAAAAGATAGAGGATAAATACAAAGGATTCTTCTCTCTAAAGGACCCCTCCTTGCTCTCCCAAGTGACCTCCAAGAGTGAGACCAAGGAAGAAATGAATCCTTCTGTTAAGCTGAAGCACAAAGAAAGAGAGATCGACGAGCTGAGAGACGAGTTGAACCATATTAAGATCCAGATGACTGACATTGAGAGCGAATATGAAAAGAGCACTCAAAAACAACTTATGTATAAGAGCAAGCTGGATCTGTCAAAGCGAGATGCTGACGATATCAAGCGAGATTACCAAGTCAGGATCTCTGACTATAAGCAAGCCTTATATGAAAAGGACGAGGAGACAACTAAACTCCTAGAAGCCATAAAGAATCTTGAAAGAGAGATTCGAACCAATGAAACTGTTAATTCAGGCTCAAGCTATGAACTGGAGTCGATAAAGAAAAAGCTAAAAGAAGCTCAGCATCATCAGGATATGCTTACTAAGAAAATTAGGGAGTATGAAGAAGTTGTACGTGTGATCAATGTGAATCTCAAGAAGAATACCTCAGAAACTACAGAAGCTAGTACAACTACTAAGCATAAGCTTAGGGAGATCGAGAAAATGAAGCTTAGGTTTAAAATTCTAGAAGATGAGCTTCACAAGAGAGAGGACTATATCCTTGCGCTGAAGAGCAAGTTGGTTAAAAATAGTAAGGAACTGAAGCACAAAGATGAAGAAATTAATAAAATGATCACAAGAAGACTAGATAAAGCTGAGAATATTGAAAATACACAAAAGAAAGAGTATGAGAGTCAAATCGGAGTTCTCAAAGACATGATAGTAGGATTAAAATCTCAAATCAAAGCTAAAGATATGGACAGTTACAGACTAGAATCAAAGGTTGTCAGCTTACAATCACAGATTGATGCTGTTAAGACACATGAACAGAAGCTAAACTCTATGATCAGGAGCTCACATCCAAGCCCAGCCTATTCCCCTGCCTCAATCAACAGCAAGTTAAAAGTTTCAACAAGCAGAATGAAGGCCTCTCGAGAAAGTGCAAGGTCGAAACCTTTGATTAAATCGACTCCCAAGGTCCAGAACCAACCTAAGCACACTCTTTTTTCTAACTCTAATACAAACTACGAGAGTCCTCTAAAGCAATCTCCGATGCATCGCAAGAGTAGTACGATCCAAAGCACAAAGCCTAACATATTGATCAGTACCAAAGAGAAAGACTCTATCGAAGAGAATTCTGATTAATGTATCAATTACAGACTAAAATATTGGGGTTTTGGGGTTTTGGGGTTTTGGGGTTTTGGGG